GCTCAAAAGGGTAGGGAGCCAGTCCCATATGCCGGAGGTGACGGGTTCAAACCCAGCCCCGGCCAAAAAACGGCAAGACAAAAAAAAAAAAGAAATCCTAGTAACAAAAGAACACTGCTCTCTGAGAAATCAACGGACCAAGGATCACTTCCACAGTCTCTTACCTTTCCCACCTTGGCTGTACATTCTGGGTCCACAGGAGCTTTGCCCTTTAACAGTAAGGCTTTCACAGACTCTGAGGAAAGACAGATATGTACTACTGTTTAAGAATCAAAAGCAGCTGTTGAGGTTAGACAGAAATCTGTCATAAGTGCCCTTCTGAAGCAATTCTGGTCATCTGCCTTCTGTCTCAAATAAAATGAAAATGAAGAATCAAGCAAGTAGATTAGGTTTAGTGCCCACAGTTCAATGGTTAGGGCGCCAGGCACATGCACTGGGGCCAGTGGGTTCGAATCCAGCCTGGGCCTGCTAAACAACAATGACAACATCAACAACAAAATAGCCAGACATTGTGGCAGGCATCTGTACCAGCTACTTGGGAGGCTGAGGCAAGAGAATGGCTTAAGCCCAAGAATTTGATGTTGCTGTGGGTTGTGACACCATGGCACTCTACTGAGGGCGACATAGTAAGATCCTATCTCAAAAAAAGAAAAGGCAGTGCTGTGGCTCAAAGAATAGGGTGCCGGCCCTATATACCAGAGGTGGTGGGTTCAAACCTGGCCCTGACCAACTGCAATAACAACAAAAGAAAGTAGATTAGTCCTGTGATAGACCCTGAGGGAAGAGATTATATAGTCCTGGAAAGAAGAAATAAGAGTTTAAAGAACAAGATAATCAACCTTGCCCCTTCCACAGACCCTCTTGCTGGGCCATGTCCTCTTTGACCTACCATCTTGCTTGTCTTCTGTCCTGTCCTTATTAGCTGCCACTTTTCCAGACATAGGCATCTCTTTTACCCCCTGTCTCTGGCATCTTTGAGTTTTCTTAGCAGGAGGAGGGTCTTCTGGAACTGTGTTACCATTATTAACTTTCTTGGTTTCATTTAATGCGTCAGAAGCTAAGGGTAAGAAGAAAGAGTGAGGAATGAGGACACACTGACTTATGATCCTCCCTTGGAAA